TATTAAATGTTTGTTCGTGTAGTAATATATCGCGTATTTTCTTCATTGTGTTATTTGTTTTGTTTTAAGAAGATTTGAGAAGATCTAATGAACAGAATGTTATTTTTGATGTTATCTCTTACAGTGTCTAGTGCTGAAACCGATGAAATTTTCTGAAACATATCGTTTTTGATTGCAAAAACTAAATATATTTTTATGTTGTTAATTGTTCGAGATTATAAAATCTTTAAAATGATTAAATATCTGTTTTCCATGTAACCATTTTAGTTCTTTGTTAGGATGGTTTTTTGAAACTTTTTTTTTGTATTTGTTTGTTTCTTTTTAGATAATATATCTCATTGTATGTGTAATGCGTCGAAAAAAAAATAAAAAATCGTTATTATTTAAAATAAATTTTATTTATCTTTGATTTTCTATTAAAAATAACGTAGTTTATTATGAGTTCAGCAAAATAATTAGTCTGCGGTAAGAAATCAATTGGTTATAACTATTGTAGTTTTTCTTCTGATGGAATGCTGTTCGACTAAGTGTAAATTCTTTTCTTAGCTTAAGTAGGCAAGACATATTAGCACTGATCATTATGGTAAAAACAAAATTCTAATGATAAGGGACATTTTTGTGCCATCCTCAGTTTTCCTCCATTCATGGTTTACTGAAAGTAGAATTTCATTAGAAATTCCATGGTAACAAAATAATGCGATTTCTAAAGGATTCAAATTAATTTTTCCTCAAATTTTCGATATTCACGTTGGTATCATAAATGAATAACTAATATTCGAAAGGATGGCTCGTATAAATTTTCTCATTCTAAAATATTTTTAACTAAAAAACGTGTCAACCAACTATTCATTCTATAATCTCTCTCGGATACAAATTGTTGCTCGAATGATTCAAATGTTGCTGAATAATGACGTAAGTTCTGTTTCAATTGAGCACGAGAATAATATAGTTATATTACCACTTTTACTCACTATTTCCTTACTGTTTTGGAAAAGGAAAAGAACAATATGAGTTTTTGATTGATTTTGAAAGCTAGTAGAAAGAGCGACAAAATCAAATAGTTTTTGATCTGTTTAGAACTAGTCGTCGTTGAATAAGGCAATTCAAATTTCGTTTAGACATCATTTCTTTTTGATTTATTCGCCAATCTGCAACACATTTTGGTTAGAGAAAATAGGGTTTGAGTCAACACAAATAACATGAATGAAGTCAGCATAAAAAAATTCAGTCAACTTATATACTTGTTTCGAAACTTTTCGACAAACTTTTTTTTTCGGAAGAATCCTGTTGGAGTCTCCCCCTTCAGAATCTAGTCAAAGAGTGAGTTTGATGAAAACATCATTTTATTGGTCAGTTATTTGTTCCTTCTTCCTCTCGTTGCGGTGTTTTACAAACTCAGAACTTGTTTTCCACTTATCAGATGATTGTCTCAATAAACTCATTTTTTGAATAGGTCCTAAGGGAGACTTCAGCTGAAAGTATTCGAAATACATACAAGTTGTGTAAGTTTTTATACTGATTTCAAATATGTTATTCGTTTAGACTCAAATCTCATTTTCTCAAATAAAAATTTGTTAAAGATCGATGAAAAAGTTGCAAAACATGGTGTCTAAACGAAATTGAAGTCGTCTTATTTAACAACGACTACTTCTTAAAAAATCAAAAACTATCTCGTCTCGTAACTCTCCCTATCAGCTTTCAGAATTAATCAAATATCTATCTGGCTTTTGTTTCTTTCTCGAGATATTAAGAAAACAATGAGCAAAAATGATAATATACCTAATGATACAAAAATGAATACCAATAATTTGAGGAACATTGAATCTGTATCTTTTAGAAATCGCTTTATTTTGTGACCAAAGAATTTCTCCTGAAATTCTGCATTCAGTAAACCATGGACGGCGAGGAAGGTAACGGAGGATGGAACAAAAATACCTCTCATGCGCTTCTGTCTTTTGACGAAGAAATGATATTACTGATGACTACGAGAAAAAAGCTCTTCGAATTGTCACTTAGAAGTAATGGGGTTACATTTTTTTTCTCCTTACAGAAAACACGCCATATTATATAGTGAAAATTGTGATAATTAGATTGATGCTTTTTTTTTACTTCTTGTTGTTGGTGAATTCTTCTATTTTCTTTTTCAACCTTTATTTAAACTATATATTTCTGTATTGATTGTTTTTTTACATTATTATGATTATCTACTTCAGGTAAATATCTTTGTAATTAAGCGCATATTGAAAAGGTCGATAAAATATTTAACATATTCTTATTAGAACATATTTTATATGATCATTCTTAAGAGATCTTCATTGTAAATTAAGCAAAATTTCTTGATATTTTTCTTTGAATTAGGTTTTCTACTTTAGTACTGGTTATAATGGGAAGCGCTTAGTTATTTTAATATTTTTTTAAAACATACAAATGAATATCGATGACGATAGTGAGTACTGTAGTACCGTTTCTAAGACGAACCTTTTATATTTAGATTGAAATAGAATTTTCTTGTTAGATATAATGATCAATACATATGTACCAACTGTTTCTGAGATTTATTTTGTCAGAAATTATTGAGAATTTTCTATACGACTCATTATCTATGTTATCAGTAAACGAAAGAAACTAGGTTAAAAAGGCAAATACCTGGCTGATGACGAAATGGAAAACGGCACTTATGGCTGATGATCAGCTGAGAGTAGAGACTGAACCCTCAGAGCTATGGCTTTAGTGAATTTAAATGAATATAATAGAAAAAGAAACATTATTCAATTTTGCATAAAGCTCATTATCTATTGATCTTATGGATCTTATTCTGCCTTTATTGCATAGTCATAGTAAGAGGATGAAAATGATTAGAGTTTGCATAAAAAATGCACATTACTTATTAGAAAATCTATCATTAGTTTCATGTATACTTTTTCTTGATATACGCAAAAATTTGAAAAAGAAGATTACTGTCTCATTAAACATGTTTATTAAAGCTTGAGTATTAAAAAAAACTCATTTTCCTCAGGTGTTATTATTTTTTTTCTTTTGGTATGTCAAGGATTATCTGTAGATATTTTAGATGAAATATAATAATATTATGTGTTTTATTCAAAACTATACATTTTCATCATTGATTCACCTAAAATTGATTAACTTTCAATGACATATTACATAGAAAATCTTAAAAGTCGATTACACTCTCTAGATTTATTAATTCACCAATGCCAAACAAAGATCAAGGACGATGTTTAGTATGTGATGATGTTGCAATTGGTATTCATTTTGGCGTGCCAACATGTATGCCATGTAAAGCATTTTTTCGACGAAATGCAATTAAACTTGGTGTAAGTTAACTTTTAGTATTGAATTCTTTTCAACGTACGCAGTTAATTTTCTTGAAAGACTCGTGAATTTGTTTGTCAAAATGATGGTGATTGTATAATAACATATAAATATCGTCGTTCATGTAATTGTTGTCGTTTGGCAAAATGCTTTCGTATTGGAATGAAAAAATCATCGATTCTTTCTGATGAGAAACGTGAAGCACGAAATGCACTTGTAGCAATAAATCGTCTTAAACGTAGTCGAATGCCTAAACCAGAATGGTTCATATGGGTTTGTATTAAATAAATATTGGAAAATAATTCATTAAATTTAGATTCATAGGAAAAGAATATGCGAAAAATATATGATTTTATACATTTAATAGATATGTTTTGGTAGAAACTGCGGCATTAGAATCAATATGAGTCATGAGACACAAACTGCAGATACCAAGAAATATAATGCTGTTGTGTTTAAGAAAAGAGAAGCTGTGTAATTCATGTGAGCATGTAGAAAGCTAAGTTTAGTTAACATCTCCTAGTGCTAGATTATAATCAGTATAATGATTAATTCTTTCACTCGACGTCGTCTTAACTCATGAACTAACTTATTATTTGTTTAATGAGATTTTACTAATCTACTGACAACGCCAGTAATTCTGAGTGAAGAAAATCTCAGTTGAATTGCTAAAAGTCCAAATATCTACATTACAATCTCAGATAACCTATAATCATAGAGAGATTCTAACAAAAAAAAATTCAGCAAAATAATTTATGCAATACGTAGACGATTTTAAACCGTTAATATAAAAATTAATACCGCATGAAAGCTAGATAGAAGCAAGAAAATCCTAAAGCTGCATCGCTACACAACTGATATTTCTCGTTTGATGAATATTTTATCGTCTGATAAGTACTCAATCAATCATTGATACCAATTTCGTCGTTGTTCTCTAGATATTTCGCGAGACTGACTGATACTGTGAGTAACTTTTCACTATCTTCATTTGTCAACTATTGCATAGAAACAATACAAATCATTTATGCTCGTACACATATTTAGGAAATACACAAGGATATTTTCATTGTACACTTTTAGTAGTATTTTTGATACTCAATAATTATATAGCTTTTTGTTAATCTAATTACCAGATTGATTAGTTTGAAAACAATTCTTTTTGTTATAAAAAGATGCAATCACCATCATTACTTCGTATGCCATCACGTTCATTTGAATACTTGTCGTCATCTGATCAAGTTATTCTTACTAATATCTTTCATGCATATGAAAACACTTGTACAGTAGCAAAAAATACTACCTTCCAAAATTTTCCTGCTATTCAACATACTTCAATGCATGCATTTATTGATGAAATGTCTTCTGAAATACAAATCACTATTGAATATTTAAAACTTATACCTGAATTTAATAATCTCATCATGGATGATAAAGTACGTCTTATAAGAAATCATATCGGTACGATAATTCATATAAATGAACCTCTATTGATTCCAGTGCCGCCTGTTAATCTTGTTGGAGCATGGACCAATCTCTTCGGACTTAATACAACGAAATCTATTTTTAAACGTAATCAAATTATTGAACAATATCTCTGTGATCCTATTATATTAAAAGTTGTTCTCATTATTCTTATACTTTCGAGTAGCAATAGTAGAAATATTGATTATATAGATATCGATCAAATTTGTGATGATTCATTATCTATATTCATAGCTCAAAATATTTATGTTGAACTACTATGGAAATATATTTTATCACGTTCACCAAATGAAAGAAATGCGGTGAAGTTTTTCAATAGATTAGTCATGTTTATATTATATGCACAAAATCTTCATTTGCATCTAGATGGTTATATTAATAGTTTAACACATGAAATCAAACAAATGGAACCAATGATGCAAAACATGTGGTTAAGAACAGATAATAATGAAGATATGAATGAAGTGATTATCGCTCAAGATGTTTCTTCATGATATTTAAGTGATTGTTTACTGTTAAACAGAATCAATTCAACAAAGATTCATGTTAAATGCTTTTGATATTCTTCAGTTTAAATTCTCGCCAGTCTGTGATTATTAAAAATCTCACGATATTTAGTTTGCTCATGTTTTTAGAACGTGTTGTATTATTACTGTTTAGTTGTGTTTTGTATAACATTATAACTTCTAAGTTACATGTCTAGTTATACTTGTCTTGATATAATGTTTTCAATCAAGAATCGGTGAATATGTAAATGTATCAATTTACAATGTTTTGTTTTATTCTCTATATTAAAGTCTCTGAAATGAATAAAAAATATTTTTTTTTCTCTTCTAGATGAATGAATTGGTAAGAAATATGTGTTATTTATTTCTACTCTAATGTGGTGTAAATTTATCGCGAGAAAGTAATTTTGACAAGAAGATTTATGATGAAGATTACTGTAGAAGTTACTTTTTGTTCGGTATAGTAAAAAGTTGATTCAAAATACAACGAGTATGTTCAGTTCGTTCAAGTTAACATTGTTGATGAAATACAATTTATTATCTTGATTTATGAGTATGTTCATGTACTAATGCGCTTAGTTATGTTTTGAACTTATTCTTAAATTTCAGGCATTATCAAATGAATTATAAAATTATTTACGTTTAAAATTATATTTCTAGATCGTTGAATCGAAGATGTTTATTTGTAATACTAGAAAAAAATAAATTATCTAAGAATCGATTAATTTAGTTACGACTATAACTTTAACCTCGGACGTTGTTACTCGAGACTTTTAAAACATGATAATGATTAGTAAAAAAAGAAAATCATTAAAATAATGTAGCTTGTAAATAAAAGTCCTTTATGTTAAAAACAGTTTGGTAACGGATAAAGTTAAAAGTTCTTCAGTAAATTTACATTTTTCGGCATATATATTACTTGGATGAATCCATAACTATGAAATCATTTCTTTTCATGGATGGATACTTTCTAATATGTGCGAGAACAATGAATTCAAAACATGATGAGTCACTTATAGTTGTAAAGATTGTTGAATTAAACTATTTCAGTTTCCCTTTAGATAGAACATATTATACTATGGATTACTCAACACATTGGGATTTTGTCATCATTTATTCATTTCAATTTATTTAGCCTTCTAAAACAGATTCCAGAAAAATATTAGAAATTAATTTCACTCTGCAGATATAATATATTCGCAATGACAAACAGAGAGCTTGGTCGATGTTTAGTCTGTGATGATGTTGCAATTGGTATTAATTTTGGCGTACCAACATGTATGCCATGTAAAGCATTTTTTCGACGAAATGCAGTTAAACTTGGTGTAAGTTAACTGTCGATATTAAATTACATTAGAAGTATGATATTTTGTTGTCTTTTTTTGTTCTTTAAAGACCCATGAGTTTGTCTGTCGATATGATGGTGATTGCATAATAACAAATAAATATCGTCGTTCATGTAATTGTTGTCGTTTGGCAAAATGTTTTCGTGTTGGGATGAAAAAATCATTCATACTTACAAGTGAAGAACGTGAAGCTCGAAATAAACTTGTAGCAATAAATCGTCTTAAACGTCACGAATTAACTGAACCACAATGTCTCATATAGACTTTCCTACTGCTAGTAAAATCAACTACATTTTTTTTCTCATAGATACGTCGCCGTTGTCTTTATATCAGGAAACTCTCACAAAGCAATTATAAGTTTCATCATCAGTCGAGAAGACCACAAATGAAAAAGTTTACACCTACACNTTGCAATTGGTATTAATTTTGTCGTACCAACATGTATGCCATGTAAAGCATTTTTTCGACGAAATGCAGTTAAACTTGGTGTAAGTTAACTGTCAATATTAAATTACATTAGAAGTATGATATTTTGTTGTCTTTTGTTGTTCTTTAAAGACCCATGAGTTTGTCTGTCGATATGATGGTGATTGCATAATAATAAATAAATATCGTCGTTCATGTAATTGTTGTCGTTTGGCAAAATGTTTTCGTGTTGGAATGAAAAAATCATTCATACTTACAAGTGAAGAACGTGAAGCTCGAAATAAACTTGTAGCAATAAATCGTATTAAACGTCACGAATTAGCTGAACCACAATGTCTCATATGGGTATGTATACAATAGATGTTGGAAAATAACAAGATAAGTTTAGATTCATAAGAGAGAATATAGAATGCCTATATACTTTTTAAAACTATACTATAGAATCGTGAGACACATACTGCAAGTAGCCAGAAATATAAAACTTTTTTTTCTAAAAAGTCTGTTCTGCAATCGATATTGTAATGTAGAACATTAGTGCTAGCCTATCATCAGTGTAGGTGTAAACTTTTTCATTTGTGGTCTTCTCGACTGATGATGAAACTTATAATTGCTTTGTGAGAGTTTCCTGATATAAAGACAACGGCGACGTATCTATGAGAAAAAAAATGTAGTTGATTTTACTAGCAGTAGGAAAGTCTATATTGCGATCTTCAATGATCAATCATTATAGAGAGGAGCCATAAAAAAATTCTAACACCATAATTTATCTAATAAATAGACTCTCTTAAAGTTATAATGTTAAAATTAACATTACATAAAAGCTAGAGAGAAACAAGAACATTTGCGAAGTCGTATCAGCGAATGACTGATACGTATTGTTTAATGAGTACTTTATTGTTTGATAAGCAAGCAACTTATCACTAAAGCCTATTTAATCACTCTTCAGTAACTTTTTTGGCAAGATTGATCGATAAGATGAATAGCCGTTCACTATCATCATTTGCTAATTTTTTGTGTAGAAACATTGTGAGCCACTTCCGCTTATCGATAATCTTTAGAAAATACACAAGGATGTTTAACTTGTATATTTTCAGTACTATTTGAGCTACTCAAAATATAGCTTTCTCTTACACAACAAAATAGATTAGTTCGAAATATATATTTATTGTTATTAAAAGAGACAATTACCATCATTATTTCGTATGCCGTCTAAGTCAACGCAATATATTTCTGCATATGATCAAGTTCTTCTTACTAATATTTTCAATGCATATGAAAAGACTTGTATACTAGCCAGAAACACTACTTTGAAAAATTATCCTGCTATTCAACATACATCTATACATGGATTTGCCAATGAAATTGCAGCTGAATACGAAGTCGCTTTCGAATATTTGAAACTTATACCTGAATTTAATAATCTCATCATTGATGATAAAGTACGTCTATTAAAAAATCATGGCGGTACGATAATTCATATAAATGAACCTTTAATGCATCCAGGACCATCTATTAATCTTGTTTGTACATGGATCAATATCTTTGGTCTTGATATAACCAAACGTCTTTTCAGACGTAATCGAATTATTGAACAATTTATTTTCGATCCTATTATATTAAAAATTGTTCTCATTATTTTTGTACTTTCAAGTGGCAATAGTAGAAATATTGTTGATACAGATATGAGTCTAATTTGTGATAATCCATTATCTATACTCATAGGTCAAAATATATACGTTGAACTATTATGGAAATATCTTTTATCACGTTCACCAGACGAAAAAAATGCAGTGAAGTTTTTTAATAGATTAGTCCTATTTATACTGTTTGCACAAAAGCTTCATCTCGAAGTAGATGATTACGTTCATAGATTAAAACATGAAATCAAACAAATGGAACCAATGATGCAAAGCATGTGGCCAAAAACAGATGAAGAAGAAAATAACAATGATGTGTCTATAGTTCAGGATATTTCTGTGTAATATTAAAGTGATTGTTTACTGTGAAATACGTCCAATGCAAGACGGATTTATGTCGAACAAGTTTGATATTGGTCGATTTAAATGCTTAGCAGTCTCTGATTATCAAAACTCTCACGATATTCAACTTGGTGAAATTTTTAAAGTTGTTGTATTGTTATTGTTAATTTGTCTTTACATGGTAGCATAATTATAAAATTACATTTGTTATATATATTTGTGTTTGTTTAATGTTATGAAAAAGGAGTTAGCGAGTACGTAAATGTCAAAGTTTACAAAGCTCGTGTTCTATTCTCTATATTGGGACTTTTGGAAAAAAAAAGAAAACTATTTTTCTTCTAGATGAATAAATCTTTAGTAATAGAAGTGTTATTTAGTACTTCAACATTGGAGAAGAAATTTACTTTTATGTTAAACATGTCTGAAAACACGATTTATCAAAAGTATCATCATAATATTTGTTATTATTCAAAATAATGAAAAACTGATTGAGACTACAATTAATATGTTCAAGGTAATATAGTCGATGAAATACAATTTGTTATTTCGCTTATTCATAGCTCTCTTCATATATTATTGCAACTGGTCATGCTGTGAATTTATTTTTAAGTTTCATGTATTGTGAATGAATAATAAAATAAGTAGAAGAAAAATAATTTTAGTTCGATGCTGGTGAGTTATAATTTCTAATTAACTTTTTTACGAAATATATTTTATATTAGATATGTAAACCAACATTTTGTTCGCCTCTGACTAGAAATGTTTAACTCTTATTCGGCTTTCGACGGTCACGACTTGAATTATTTGACGCCCCCGTATTGGTGACTGAAAATCTTCGATGATTTTTGAAAAAATTTTTCAGCTGCGTGAAATTTTTGAACTAAAAAAAATGCAGCAAAAAATGGTAACGAAGATGATGATAAGTAACTTGGCAAGAACATCATCGAGAACTGGTCATAGGTATCAAACACTTTCGAAAACCTACGAACTATAATTATGCTCCGGCGACAGCTGAAACATCCTAAAACTTGTGCTGCCATCCTCAGTAATAATTCAGTCGATTGCTGTACAACTCTACTTGGTATCGATTCACCGATGAGTTCCTGTAATCGATTGCATTCATGCAGATAGAATCTCCGGTAATGAAAGCGTTTTCTTGGTCCGATTTACATAATTTTTTGAATCATACTAATAGAATTTATCCATTGAATAACATTTGTTTTGCTTTGTCTAATCTATATTTGAACATTACATCTTCTTGATGGTTTTCTTAGTGTTTAGTTCATTAGGTTACATATATATGTCACGAACTAGTGATGGAGGACTTGTAACGAACTAGCAAATTTAGTTATCAAAAGACTATATTTCGATGATTGAATTGAAAATGTTGATTTACAATACTTGAAAGAAAATATTTTCATTTTGAAATCACTTAATTTAGCTACGACTATAACTCTAACTACTTACGCAGTTATTCGAAGTTTTCATGGCATGATAATGAGCATTTAAAGAAGAAAATAGTGTAGCTTTCAAGAAAATGTCCTACGTGTTAAAAATAGCTTCGTAACGAATACAATTAGAATTTTTTTGTGTAAATTTACACTTTTTAACATGCATACATGATTATGTAATTGCATATGTATACAATCGTTTTTTATCATTGAAAGATATTTTACAATATGTGCGTGAACACTGAATTCAAAACATGATGAACTACATAGACTTATATAGATTGTTGATTTGAAGCTATTTTTAGTGTGCTTTTAAATAGAATATATTATACCATCGATTACTCCACAAATTGTGATTCTTTCATCATTTATTCATCACAGACTAATTACTCTTCCATTACTTATCAGCGAGAAATTATTACAAATTAATTCCGGAAAAAATGAAATTTGTCTCAGAAAAAAAGATGAAAATGATCTCGGAAAAAACTCATTAACAGAAAAAAGGTGAAAATTAGAGAAAAAGATCTCGATTTTTTCATATATATGCGCATATGGTTACATAGAGACCTGTCCATATGGTGAATAGAAAAAACGAGCAGAAAATAGTAAAACTAATTCATCTGACGACATGGCCTATGTTATGTTTACGAGCGAATGGTTGAGGAGCACATCATTAGCAAAGTTTCGTTTAATTCAATGTAATCCACTATATACCTAAGTACTTTCTGGAATATTCAAAAATCAATTTAACCGTAAAACAATGGGACGAATATGGAAGATGATTGAAGAGAGCATTCTAACTGACAACGATTTCATATATTTGGCAAAATGTTACAATTTATACAGTTGAACGAAGCGAAATATTATAATTAGATGCATTTACATTTGTTGTTCTAGCATGTGAGCCTCAAATAACTACTTGTGCTTAGGTACAATATTTTTATTCTATGTCTTGGTTATCATATGATCATTTCAAACAGTGTTTGGAATCTGCACGAATTTTAAATTTCTCTAACATGTTACCTACAATATTCTGTTCCTGTAGATATAATCTGAAACAATATTCGTGTATTCATTCAATAGGTCTTATGATGATCTGGGAAGTTCCAGCAACTCCACAGTTAATCGGAAAAAGAAATAGCAAACGACGAAGAAAAGAAGTGAAATATGCATTGTCGAAAGACTGATTTTTTATAAACACATTCATATATATTTTGTATTAGATATTAATAAATATAACATTATTGTTTCTTTGCCACTTTGCACTCTATTTATTAGTATGCACATAAACTAGGATACCATACTTTCCTTTTCTATTTGACATATGGAATCGAGATCTTTTTCTCTAATTTTCACCTTTCTCTGTTAATGAGTGTTTTTTGCGAGATCTTGTCATCATATTTTGCACTTGGAAAAAAACTAGATCATTTTCATTATTTTTTCCGAGATCAATTCAGTGTCGTCCAGGATCACGATTGATGTTTGGTATGGGGTATTTCTGCAATTGGTATTAGTTTGGTGTGCCAATAGGTATGCTATGTAAAGCTTTTTTTCGACGAAATGCAGTTGAACTTGGGATAAGTTAACCTTCGATATTGATGTTTTCTCAAAATAAAAAATTTTGTTTCTTAAAAAGCTCATGAATTTATATGTTGACATGATGGTGATTGTATAATAACATATAAATATCGTCGTTCATGTAATTGTTGTCGTTTGACAAAATGTTTTCATGTTGGAATGAAAAGAATTATTCATACTTACTAATGAAGAACGTGAAGCTCGAAAGGCATTTGTAGCAATAAATCGTCTAAAACGTTGTCTCGTACCTAAACTACAATGTCTCATATGAATTTATATTAAATACGTATAGAAAACCTATAGATTAAGGTTAGATTGATCAAAAAAGAATATTCAAAAAAGAAATATTTTTATAAACTACCGAACCTGAATACATATTAGATTTCGCGAAAATTGATATCAATCATGGGACAAATACTACATGTACCAATAAAAATAATATTTTTCTTTTATTCAGATCGTAACTGAAATGTAGAATGTTAGATTCCGATGATCTTCGAAGTACTAGACGATTATCAGTGCAATGATATAATTTCTTTTACTTGACGTTATCTCAATTGATAAACTATCTTGTTGTGTGTTTATTGAGATTTTCATGACCTAGTGACAACAACTGAATTTCTGTGCTAAAAAAAACTTGGGTAAATTTGCTAAAAGTCACAAAATTCCACATCGCAGTCTTACGTACCCTGTCATCATAGCAAGATTCAAAGAAAACCACCTCAAAAAAATAAATTATACGATTAGTGGATAGTCTTAAGCCATTAATATTAGAATTAGTATGAAATGAAAGTCAGCAGAAGCAGAAAGATATCGAAACTGTTTCGTCGAATCTCTGATATATATGGGTTGGCGGCTATTTCATTGTTGCGCTCTAGCTCTTTTTTGATACTGATCGATACACTAAATCACACTACACTGTGACCACTTACCTACTTTTGTTGTATTGAAATTTATGTGATTCACTTCTCCTTGTCTACTATATCTAGAGACTTCACGAGTATATTTTCCCTAGCAGACTTGGAATACTATTTTTGATAATCAGAATAAGGCTACCGTTTGAATTACTGGATTTGCTAGTTCGAAATTAATATTCATTGTTATTAAAAGATGAAATCACCATCATTACTTCGTATGCCGTCAAGTACAATCCAATGTCTTTCGTCATCTGATCAAGTTCTTATTACTAATATTTTCAATGCATATGAAAATACTTGTGTAGTAGTTAAAAACACTACCTTGCAACGTTTTTCCTGCTGTTCAACATACATCTATACATGCATTTGTCAATGAAATGTCTTCCGACTTTCCAGTCGCTATTGAATATTTAAAACTTATTCCGGAGTTTAATAATCTCACTAGCGATGATAAAGTACGTTTCATAAGGAATCATATTGGTGCAATAGTTCATATATATGACACCTCTAATGCATCCAGTAGCACTTGCCAATCTTGTTATTACATGGACCAATATCTTCGATTTTGATATAACCAAACGTCATCAAGCTATTGAACAATATATCGTTGATCGATCATATAGATATGGATCTCATTTGTGATAATTCGTTTTCTATATTCACAACTCAAAATACTTACGCTGAACTATTGTGGAAATATATTCTATAATGTTCACCAAATGAAAAGCATGCGGTGAAGTTTTTAAATAAATTAATGATGTATATATTATGTGTACAAAACCTTCGTTTGGAAATAGATGATTATCTTGAGAGTTTAAGACATGACATAAAAACAAATGGAATCGATAGTGCAAGGCATGTGGCCAAGAGCAAATATTAAAGAAGATATTAATAATATCAATATTGCTCAAAGTATTCCTCCGTGACATTAAAGTAATTTTTTGTTAAATCTAATCAATACCACAAGAATTATGTCAAATAAGCTTGATATTGTTTGATTTCAATGCTTATCAATTTCTGATTATCAAGAATCTCACTTTATTAAATTTAGTTGAGTTTTAAAGTTGTTATATTGTTATTGCTAATATTTTTCATATGGTATTATAATTTCCAAATTACATTTATCATATTCATATTTATATCTATATAATGATGTGAATAATGAATTGATGAATATCTGAATTTATAAGTTTTCAATGCAGCGCTGTATTTTCTATATTGGAACTTGTTTAGAAATTGAAAAATTTGTTCTTTTTTTTCTAGATGTATATACTTTTAGAATGGAATTATTATTTAGTACTTCGACATTAGAAAGTAAATTATATTTTACGTAGGACATATCTCATAACAAGATTTGTCGAAAGTTTCATCATAAAATTTGTAATTATTATTCAAAATAATGAAAAATGGCTTGAAACTACAATTAATATGTTCGAATTGTTCAAGTTAATATTGTCGATGAAATACAATTTATTATATGGATTTATGGCTTTTTTTTCATGTACTAATGCAATCTGTAATGCATTGAGCTTACTATTAAATATTGATACATTATCAATGAATGATAGGATAAGTTAAATAACGATGATATTAGTTTAATGCTAGTTATTAAGGAGTTTAATTAGTAGCTGATGAGTTATGAAGCCTAATTAATTTTTTTTCGATCAATATTTGATATTAGTGATTGAAGCCGGTTTAATTATCGCCGGCGGTTTGAAACTTTGGCTCTTGCTTAACGTTCTACGACGACGACTAAAAGTTTACGATAGCTTTTTAAAAATTGTCTTAGTTCTGTAAAATGTGGAAATATGAAATGGAACAAATGATGGTAGAGAAAGTGATGATAAGTAACTAGACAAGAACATCGTGAAAAACTGATCGTGGATGTGGAAAACTTAAAAAAAGTTGACAATGTACTTTTATGTTCCGAATGCTGCTGGTGAGACGTTTTGGAAATTTTATCATGATCGGTGGCGATTCAGCCTATTATTTTACACCTCTGTTTAGTATCGAATTAACCATGAGTTCTTGACATCGATTGAATTTTGGTAATCGTGTAGATATAATCATCAATAGCTAAAAAATTGTGCTCTTTTTCTGACTTCGACAACCTACCGAATCACATTGAAGACTCTGTACGATAGTTGAATCAAGAATTTTTATTTGTAACATTTCAAAGAAATTATTTTCGTCGTTAAGTCACTTAATTTATTTACGAATATAACTTTAACCATTTATATTGTTATTCGAAACTTTTAAAAACATAAATATAGAATCATTCCTTTTCATCGACAGATATCTCATCAGGCGCACTAGAACAATAAATTCAAAACACGATGAGCTACATATACTTATATAGATTGTTGCATTGAATTTATTTTTGATTTTTTTCTTTTAGATAGAACATGAGCTATTCAATAAACTATGGTTTATTCATCGAAAACTGATTAATATTTCATTACACATTTCAGAGAAAATATTAGACGTTAATTCCACTATCTAGATATAATACATTCCAGATGGCAAACAAAGATCATAGTCGATGTTTAGTATGTGATGATGTTTCAATTGGTATTAATTTTGGCGCATCAACATGTATGCCATGTAAAGCTTTTTTTCGACGAAATGCAGTTAAACTGGGTGTAAGTTAACTTTAGATCTTAAATTATTTTATCGAAGTACGAAGATTGTTTTTCTTTAAAGACCCAAGAATTTATTTGTGAAGGTGATGGTGATTGTATAATAACATATAAATATCGTCGTTTATGTAATTGTTGTCGTTTGGCAAAATGCTTTCGTGTTGGAATGAAAAAATCATTAATTCTTTCTGATGAGAAACGTGAAGCTCGAAATAAACTCATAGCAATGAATCGTCTCAAACGTCGCCAAATAGCTAAACCACAATGTCTCACATGGGTATGTATTAAATAAATATTCGAAATTAATTAATTGCTTTGTATTCGTAAGAAGAGAATATGCAAATAAATATATATTTCTATAAACTATATAATCTTTAATAGATGGTAATTTTTGTGCAAAAATATTATGTTATTAAAATGAACATGAATCATGAGACATAAATTTTTTTTTCTGAAAGAGTGAGTTTTGATATTGATGCAGATTGTAGAATATTAAATTCGAATACGTGTCTTCGCATTTATCAACACAAAACGAGAACTAAACATTCATTTTCCTTTATTTCAGTGACTTTTTATGTAAATTATTTCAATAGAAAATAATCTAAAGTTTAAATTTTTCGTTTTTAAAATTTTTTAAAATTTATAACAATTTCAAAAAAACTTAGATATTCAGTTTTACTTTTAAATCGATGTATTTTATAGATTTACCTAAATATATGGTGCCACTATTTCTTTTTATAATGAACTGTAACTAAGAAAGTTCACTAAACATCAACGTTACTATCTATGACATAAGTGTATTAATCGAGGTGCAATGGTATTTATCTATACAATAACAAAAATATAGAGAACAATATTCAAATTAGAGTCGCTCTGAAATATAGGCGTGGGTAAACGTTTTCTGTTCGGACACACATTCACATCTGCAATAAAAACTGAGTTACCATTATTATTTACGATAGCACGTTTTTGAAACCTCGTTTTGACTTCGATTAAAATCCTTCGTAGCTAATCGTAAATTAATGATCCTTGTCCGTACATTATGATTATTATTTTATCAATAAGCAAAAAACAAATAATCAGCTCGTCATTATCTATTCAAAATATATAGTTCTCTTCCACAAAACTTATTCATGGTCCAACTGATAATAATAATTTATTTTAAGACTCAGATTAAACTAACATATATATACGGCAACTATTTCAATGATTTTGTCGCTCAAACCCATTGATGGATTTAAGTCGAAAGTCAGTATCAAAGTAAAGTTACTGGAATTTGAGTCAGAGGAAAACTAGATATAAATATTTGTAATGCTTTTTATAATTTTTTAAACATATGAGGAAGACATTGAGAAATGACATAAAGACGATTGAAAGTTGAAATGAATACCACCTTTAAGTTTGGCACTACTATTATTTTGCGATACTCATCGATACAGTGAGTAGCGCTTTACTTTCATCACCTGCTTATTTTTCTGTAGAAACGATGTGAATCATTTTTGCTTGCTCACAATATCGAGAAAATATACAAGCATATTTTTATTGTACACTTTTAGTAATATTTTTGGGTACTCAAAATATACCTTTCTCTTAAACTACTAGATAGATTAATTTGCAATAAATATCTTTTCTTATTCAAAGATGCAATCACCATCATTACATCGTATGCCGTCAAGTTCAATCAAATATCTTTCTTCATCTGAGCAAGTTCTTCTTACTAATATTTTCAATGCATATGAAACAACCTGTGCAGTAGCCAAAAATACTACTTTACAAAATTTACCTACTGTTCAACATACATCTCTGCATGCACTTGTCAATGAAATGTGTTCTGAATTTCAAGTCTCTATTGAATATTTAAAACTTATACCCGAATTTAACAATCTCATTATGGATGATAAAGTGCGTCTAATAAAAAATCATATCGGTACGATAGTTCATATAAATGAACCTCTAATGTTCCCAATGCCGCCTACTAATCTTATTGGATCATGGACCAGTGTCTTTGGTCTTGATATAACTAAACGTCTTTTCAAACGTCATCAAATTATTGAGCAATATATCGTTGATCCTATTATATTAAAAGTACTTCTTATTATTCTTGTACTTTCAAGTAGCAATTGTAGATATACTGATTATACAGATATGGATCTCATTTGTGATGATCCATTATCTATATTCAAAGCTCAAAATATTTATGTTGAATTATTATGGAAATATATTTTATTACATTCAACAAATGAACAACATGCAGCGAAGTTTTTTAATAGATTAATGATATATATATTATTTGCACAAAATCTTCATTTAGAAATAGATTATTACATAAGTTGTTTGAAACATGAAATAAAACAAATGAATCCAATGATACAAAGCATGTGGTTGAAAACAGATAATGAAGAAGATATGAATATTTTTCAAGATGTTACTCCGTAGTACGAAACTGATGGTTTATTATTAAGTTCAATAAATGAAAGAAAGATTTATGTGAAATAAGTTTGATATTGTTCGATTTTAATGCTTATCAATCTCTGATTATCTAGAATTTCGCGATATTTAGATTGCTCATGTTTTTCAGGTTTTTGTATTAATATTATTTTTTATTTTTATTTTTTTAAATGGTATGGTGATTTTCAAGTTACATTAATTCTATACATATATTTGTATCTATGTAATGATATGACTAAGGATGATTTAATTGGTGAATGTATTACTACATTAATTTTGAATATTTTTTTATATGTCTATATTGGGTTTTTGTTTAAAGAATAAAAAATGTTTTCTTTTCAGATGAATATATTTTTAGAATAGAATTATCATTTAGTACTTCTACATTCGAAAGTAAATTTAGTTGAATGTAAGAGATATTGGTTAACAAGATTTATTGAAAATATGGTCATCAAATTTGTTATTATTTAAAATAATGCAAAGCGGATTGAGACTACAATTAATATATTCAAATTGCTCAAGTTAATATTGTCGATGAAATATAATTTATTATTTCGATTCATGACTCTTTTCGTGTACTAATGGAACTAGTCATGCTGTGAACTTATTCTTCAGTTTGATAGATTATCAAGGAAGGATGAGATGTGTCAAAGAAAAATCATTTTAGTTCTATACCGATCAGTAAGAAATTTAATTAGTAGCTGGTGAGTTGTAATGAGTAATTAATTTCACTTGCCGAACATGTTTAATATTAAAGATGTAATCATATATATTAATCGACGAGAACTTGCACTATCTGACGCTTCACTGATGACGGTTGGAAGTTTTGGATAGTTGTTCAAAATGTTCTTAGCTCTGTGAAGTCTTGAAATGAAAAAGGGAGTAAATGATTGGAGAGAACCTGATAATAAGAAGTCTGACAAGAGCGTCCTCGAAAAATGATCCTGAATGTTTCAAATTGTCAAAACTCTTCAATGTATTTTTATGTTTTAACGACGCAACTGAATCACAAGACAGTTGAGGCGGTGTTTGAGTCAATTGATTTACATTTCTATTTAGCATCACATTAATTAAGAGTAATTCCAATCATGTAGATAGAATTTCCAATATCTAAAAGTTCTTCCCCCTTTTTCTAACTTGAACAATTGTTCGTATCACACTAATACATTAAAATAGATTTATTGCATAAAATTTGTTTTCTTTTGTCTAATCGATATTTGAAGCATATATATTTTATTGTTTCTTTATTCATATTTTTTTAGTTTTTAGTCAATTAGATTATCTTTTTAGGTCACCAAGTGTTGACAAGAGACTTATAAAGAGCAGTAGTAAATCTATCTAACACAATCCCCTATATGATGATTAATTGCAAAATGTTTATTTAAAAGAAAATATTTCTAGTCTAAATTCATTTATTTTAGTTACAACTATAACTTTAGCCATTCATGGTGTTATTCGAGATTTTTAAAACATGATAATAAACACTTAAAGAAGGAAATCATTTAAACAATGTAGATTGTTAGAAAAGTCTTTCATGTTAAAACAGTTTGGTAACGGATAAAGTTAAAATTTCTTCTATAAATTTACATTTTTCAGCATATAAAAATCCTTGTGTGAATGCATACCATGCAATGATTTATTTTCACTCATACAAATTTTACAATATGTATGAGAGCAATGAATTTAAAACATGACGAGTTACATACACTTATATAGGTTGTTCAACTGAAACTATTTTAGTTTGCTTTTAAATAGAACATACTATACCATGATCTACTCAACAGACTATACTTTTCTCATCATTTATTTATCTCAAAATAATTTTCTTTTTCCTTACTCTTTGCAGAAAAATTATTACAAATTAATTTCATTCTATTGATTGAAAATATTTCAAATGTCGCACAAAAATTATGGTCCATGTCTAGTATGTGGTGATATCTCAGTGGGCATTAATTTTGGCGTACCAACATGTATGCTATGTAAAGCTTTTTTTCGACGAAACGCAGTTAAACTTGGTGTAAGCTAAATTTCAATATTGAATTTTTTCTGAAGTACAAAATTTTGTTTTTCTGTTTTTTAAAGACTCGTGAATTTATATGCCGACAAGATGGTGACTGTATTATAACATATACATATCGTCGTTCATGTAATTGTTGTCGTTTGGCAAAATGTTTTCGTGTTGGAATGAAAAAATCATTAATTCTTTCTGATGAGAAACGCGAAGCTCGAAATAAACTTGTAGCAATAAATCGTCTAAAACATGGTCAAATACCTAAACCACAATGGCTCATAGGGGTGTGTATTCAGTAAATATTCAAAATTAATAATATACATTTAAATTCGTAAGAAAAGTATATGCAAATCAGTGCATATCTTTATCAAGTTATATAATCTTAGTAGATATCAGTTTTTGTTGAAAATATGTCATTAATCCCTTCGCGGTGACATGAATATTGCGTCTCATAATTCGCGAAAGATTTCATTTCTCTATCTAAAGCAACCGTAATACTTCAACAAAACCTTTATCGACGTTTCTTTTATCAATATGAGATATGAACATTTCTCTATCATCGGTAAAAATAATCAGCCCCTTGGGAGTCAAAGTATGGCAGAGATATTCATTATTTTCTGCAATAAATGAGTTTTTGGACCACCCTACGATGTAGCCTACTGGTGGCTCACATCGCCACGAAAGGGTTAAGATCAATATGAATCATGAGAAACACGTTGTTGATAGAAAAAATAGAGTATAATATGTTTTGCAACAAACTGCGTTTTAAGATTCATGCTGAAATGTAGAACGTTAGATTTGGATAATCTTCCCAAGTGATGCTAGACTATTTTCAATGTAAGGATAAATACTTTCGTTCGGTGTCGTCTCAACTGATGAACCAATGTATTATTCGTTTAGTGAGACTTTACTGATCCACTGACAACGGCTGTATTTCTATGCGAGAAAATAAAATCGTAGTAGAATTTACTAGAAATCTGAAAATGTAAATCGAAAACTTACATGACTTATCATCATAGAAAGATCTTACATGGAAGTTAGATAGAAGCAGAAAGATGCCGAAATTGTATTGCTGAACGACTGATATGTATCGTGTCACATGTATTTTATCGTTTGAATAACGAGCAACCAATCACTAATGATTGTTTCATCAATGTCCTCCAGTTATTTCGCAAGATTGATTGACATGGTGAGTAGCATTTCACTGTCGCCACCTGCTTAGTTTTCTGTAGAAATGATGTGAATCACTTTTGCTTGTCCCCAATATATAGAAAATACATCAAGCATGTTTTTAATCGTACGCTTTGAGTTGTATTCTGCATCCTCAAAATATACCGTTCTCTTAGACTATTGTATATATTAGTTTGAAATTAATATTTTTTGTTATTCAAAGATGCAATCACCACGCATCATTACTTCGTATGCCGTCAAGTTCAATCGAATGTCTTTCTTCATTTGATCAAGCTCTTGTTACTAATGTGTTCAATGCATATGAAAATACTTGTATGACAGGAAGAAACACTCGATTTCAATCTTATCCTGTTATTGAACATAAATCTATACATGGATTCATCAATGAAATCTCAAATGTATTTCAAACTTTTGTTCATTATTTAAAACTAATACCTGGATTTGATAATCTGATAATAAATGATAAAACACGATTAATGAGAAATCATTTTGGAACTATACTCAATATTAATGAACCTTATATGTATTCTGTAACACCTTCTAATCTTATTTTAACATATACAAATGTATTTGGTCATAACATAACGAAACGTCTTATGAAACGTAATCAAATTATAGAACAATTTATTTATGATCCAACTATAATAAGAATTGTTCTCATTATTCTTGTACTATCCAGTAGCAATCATAGAAATATTAATCATATTGATATGAACCTAATATGCGATGATTCATTATCTATATTCGAAGCTCAAAATATTTATGTTGAATTATTATGGAAATATATTTTATCACGTGTAGCATATGAACAAGATGTAGCGAAATTTTTTAATAGATTAATGATGTGCATATTATATGTACAAAACGTTGACATGTGTATAGATAGTTATATTAGTAATTTTAGAAACGAAATAAGACAAATGGAACCAATGATGCAAAATATGTGGTTAAAAACAGATGATGAAGAAGATAATAATGATGCGAGCAGCATTTAAAATATTATCCCATCAAACGAAGATAAATTGTATATCATTAATCTGAACGCATTAAACAAGTACTGATGTGGAATAAGTTTTATATTGTCCAATGTAAATGCCAATCAATCTCTGATTATTGAGAATCGTACGATATTTAGTTTGGTGAGATTTGTCAATATTGTTTCATTGTTATTAATTATTATTTCGTTTTTTTGTTCTGCATTGGTATGATTATCTCCTATTTGATATTTATTTTGTATATTTACATCTATGTAGTGATTTCACTAAGGAATTAATGAATATGTAAATACATCAGTTTTAAATGTTTTCTGTATTTTGTATAACGGATATCCCAGAAATTCTGACGTTATTTTAAAATGTATCGTTTTCGCATTTAACAAAATCAAATTGTTTGAAACTTTGATAGACTATTGTACCTACTTAGTACTAAATATCTACAAAATTTGAAGTCAATAGCTTTTACTAAAGACGAGAAGCCGCAACATTACTGTCATGTACAATCTTTTCGATTTTCCTATAACTTGTATTGATAAAATTCAATATAAACAATCGCTCAACGTTCTCCATTTTTTATCGATGAATGATTAGAGCTCATCATACCACAAGATAGTAATTATTGTTAGAAAATGTATTTTACTGGTGACGGATATGTTAAATTCATTCGAACTATTGTGGTACAATAAGCAAGCAAAGAATTAGATAATTTACGAAATGTTATTTTTCAAGATGGTTACTATTGCAAATAGAGGAATGACTGGGCGTGCTCTTAAATATGTTATTATTAATCAAATTGAACCAATAAATCGTGATGCAAAACCGCCTGATGTTTGTCCTATAGAAAACGTTTGGGGTACCTAAAAAGAGAAATTACGAGAACGGGAATACAATAATATTGAAGAACAAAAAAAAAAAACGAATGGAAGAAATTTAGTGTTATTTTATGTCAATGAATGATAGATGATATATTAGCACGATTAAAATTGGTAATTGATCATGGTAGTAATTAAATAAATGAAATTTGATAATTTAATATGTGTTTCTTTTTATTTCGAAAAGTTATATTGTCTTGAAAATAATTACCAAGATGATCAGAAATATTGAAAAACTAGTACATGAGAGTGATGTTGTGAGTTCTCATCTATAGTAAAAGCTATTGATCTGAAACTTTATAGTTATTTAGTACTAAGTAAGTATAATGGTGTGCCAAAGTTTCAAAGAATTTGCTTCTGTTAAATATACGAAGGATGCATTTTTAAATTACTTTAGAGCTTCTAGGGTATTCCTTATTAGCATTTTTTTTTTGGACAATGAAAAAGAATATTATTTTTTCCTAGATAAATATATTTTTAATTGAGATTTATTATTTAGTATTTACACATGAGGAAATCAATTTACTTTTATCTCGAACATATTTCTTAGTAAGATTTATTGGAAATATCATTACAAAATGTAATATTATTCTAAATAATGAAAAAATGGATTGAAGATACAATTAGTATATATGAATCATTGAAGTTAACATTCTTTCGTATTATTGTTAATTTTCTATTCAATAGAAATATGTTCTGATTTCGACTTATTTACAACTTTGTTATATTATTCATTAGCAATAACATATATTTAAGTCAAAAATTTATTTCGTGAAAGTTCTTACGATCAATGACTTATTTTAATATCTGGATAAATATAATAATTTATGAATCACACATACAACCGCATTGAATTAATCATGCGTATACTACGATGTATTACCTTGTTTAAATTATTATGATTGTTGTCGTGTTGTTTGTTTACTTCAATTTTTAGTTCTTGTTTAAGATTCACCAAATATTACTAAAATATATGAAAATAGAGAAGATTTGGATTATGTTTATGATAATATTTTATTCATATATGTTAATCACTATGTATTGTATTTAGTTATTCTAGTGATTTACTTTATTATATTTACCATCTCAATAAGAAACAATTAATTATTTTAATACTCAAATTTTTAGTGTACTATTCGATTAAAATTCCAGTTTCATAGTAGAAAAAAAAAATTATACACTATTTTACAGATAACATAGAATGAAAAGAACTATTATAAGATAGTGTACGGCTTATATTGAAATAGATTTTTTTTCATCAGAGTTTTAAAAGTTCAAGAGTATAGGATCTACTAATCGTGAAAGTTTAGGAAACGCATGTAGTTTTGATAAATTTGTTATCTTTTTACAAACTTATATTTCCTTGCAAAATAAGTTTGAAGTCATTGAATTTCACGTACAAAACACACAAGTACTTTGAACAGTTTTATATTGTATATGCGAGAACTAACATGACAATAGTCCTTCGCATACACATGATCAATTTTTCTATACGGTAATTCACATAGTAGATCTTGACGAGTAGAGTAAAATTTGTCATCTCGAATGCTATCTTCTATGTGATACTGAGATTACTTTGTTCAAAAAAATACTCCTCCGTTTCTTCGAGATGCTCTCTTCGATCGAGCTGAACACTTTTTTACAGGCACTATACACTGTTTTGACAGAGTTTATTTTTATTTTTTGTTCTTCGAATAAAAAAAGTCAAAATATCGAAGGTATCCAGAAAAAGTATATTTGTTTGAAAAAAACACGAAACAATATACAGTTTTCGCTAATTTAAATTCTTATCGAATTTTCTAACGTTTAAACGACAATTTTCGGATCTCAAAATGTACTCACTAGATAGATACTATTTCAGACTGTACAATGGCCATTAGAAAAAAATTGGGTCACGAAAGCCAGCGGGATAGTCTTGAAGCAAAAATTTAGTCTTTTTCGTCACGATGGCTTTGATTATCTTTCTTTAAAAGTAGATTTATTTTTCTAATTATTTAATTTTATCAGAAAGAAAAACAATTTTATTTGTTTAAGTTTTAAAAATAATTCTTACCATTTATCTTAAGACGTGTGTAAATAATTATTAAATAGACATAATAATATTCAATGAATTTATATGTAATTTTTATTAAAGTAGAAAACGGATTGATTTTTCTAGTATGCATCTACGAAAACGTCCTTGTTATGGAAAAACATTTATGTTGGATTTTCTTTCAATTTCTCACTTATCTTATTTCCTATTATCTATATATAGAAACAAAAATGATTAAAGTCTACTCGTTTTAAAGAAAATGTTTTCAAATAATAAAAATTCACATGACATTTTCTCGTTAGTTATAAAGTCTGTTACCTGTACAAATTTTTATATAAACTCGCAAGTATACAATAATGTTTTCTGGTAGTATTCATCTTACAATATGTATCAAGTGAAAAAACGAATTAAACCATTAGAACAAATAAATATTCTTGTTCAAATTGCTGAATAAGAACTATTTTATCGTTAATTTTTGATTCAATTTATTATTAGTTTGATATATTAGAAATTAATTATATTCTGTAGATTTAAAACATTCCAAATGTCAAACAAAGATCAGGGTCGATGTTTTGTATGCGATGATGTTTCAATTGGTATTAATTTTGGCGTACCAACATGTATGCCATGTAAAGCTTTTTTTCGACGAAATGCAAGTCAACTTGGTGTAAGTTAACTTTTGATATGAAATAATTTTCAAAGTACGAAGTTTTTTCTTTTTTACAGACTCGTGAATTTGTTTGTCAAAATGATGGTGATTGTATAATAACATATAAATATCGTCGTTCATGTAATTGTTGTCGTTTGGCAAAATGTTTTCGTGTTGGAATGAAAAAATCATTCATACTCACTGATGAAGAACGTGAAGCTCGAAATAAACTTGTCGCAACAAATCGTCTCAAACGTGGAAAAGTGCCTAAACAACGACCCATCCAATGGGTATGTATTATGTATATACTTGATTGAAAAATTCAAATAATTGTCGACGCCAGAAACGGAAAAGGAAAACTTCAGGACGAATAAATATCTCTAGAATGGAGGTAGATAGAGACCTGCGATTTTCACCATTGAAAAGTGCAATGTCGAAAGCATCGATTGGTATAAGATTCATTAAGTTCAAAGAATTCTTTCATGAGTACTTTTGGACTGATATTTTTTTCGTTGCCTTTTTTCATCAGTTTTCAATGAAATTTCAACACCAATTGTACCAAAATGTAGCCCCAAACACACTGTGTTCGTGGTAATATTTCTCCAATTTTTAATTATCTTTTCAGCCTTTTTCTTCAATGAAGCTTTTAAAGAACATGATAATTTTTATAGGAATATATGCTGTTTGGGGCTACATTTTATTACAATTGGTGTTGAAATTTCACTGAAAAGTGATGAAAAAAGACAACGAAAAAAATATCAGTCCAAAAGTACTCGTGAAAGAATTCTTTGAACCTAATGAATCTTATACCGATCGATGCTCCCTCCCCCCGACATCGCTCTTTTCAATGATGAAAATCACAGGTCTCTATCTACTTCTATTCTCGAAATATACGTCCTAGAGTTTTTCTTTTCTATTTCCGACGTAGATAATAGATTTTAACTTATAGACATGAATAAAAAAATATTGAGAAAATGAATTGATTATGTTAAATTCATATATTAAAATTAAAATAAAATTCTATAGATGTTGAAACTATCATGTAGAAAATATTAGATAGAATCGTCACATATTTTGAACTGAGCATTGAACTATTTCGATGAGAAATCTATACACCTCAATTATAGGTGGAATAACAAAAGTGTTCTAGTTTTGACATAGACAATGTCTGATATAGAAAAGATCTGCACTGAAACAAAACATTTTCGATGTGTTGAAGAGTGATATAGTTGAAATTGTGCAAGAATTTGTCACATATGAATTATTCTCGATTAGCATTTCAAGCTATTGTATTTATTTATTAGTTACGTCAATGGTCCCGATTGAAATTTTACAAAAGAGCCAATGAAAAATAGACATCTGATTGAAATGTCTAAAGTCATGTTTTTAAGATTTTGATTGTCATCAAGCAGGAGACATCTGAGTCGACATACGAGACATGCAGAAC